AATTGTTGTTGCTGTTGTTGTTGTTGTTGTTGTTGACGACGGACTGGCAATTCCGTCATCTTCCCCACTTAGAACTAGTGCCGATGGAATCCGTATCAGTGTTTCTCCTTTTTGAATCGGAGTGGTTGCCACAACCCCTCTCGACGGGCCATTGCCTTTCAATGTGAGCGAAGGGTGAACGTAGCCTCCTCCATTGGAAGAATCTCTCTGTGTGTCTCTGCCGTTGTTTCCATCGATCGAGCCGCCTTTCTGTTCTTCTCCTTGTACCCATCGGACGAGATCCGTCCATATCTTTCTGGTCTCGTCATTATCATTGGTATCATCGTGCTCGTCACTCATCGTTGAGCTAATCGACCGCCTGCAAGTATCATAGGTACCGTACAACTGTATTCTATTGCAGTTCAAAATTTTCTTTCTTTACTCTCCGACTCGGAACTAAAATTCAAAATCTAGATTTCCCTAATACTGAGCAGGTTTTGTTGATTATTGATGGCGCGAAGAAAGTGTTCAGATTCAGACAGACAGACAGACAGATGATGTTTCTCCAATAGTTTCGAAAAAAGGTTAAAAAAAGATAATCAAAATTTACCAAGATTTAATTTATATTTGAATAATTTTCTAGATTTGTTTCGAATTTTAAGACAAAATAATGTATTCGACTAAGTGGTTATCATAGTATGCATTTAACCACATGTTGCTTAAAGGCAGCATTAGTGCACATCACCATATTATGTTGTCATGTCATATTGGTATGATGTATTAATGTCATATCATATCATATCATATCATACTAGTATCATATCATATCATAGTATCATACCCTACATTTGATTAATTGTGTTATGTAAGGAATATATGGTACATAATTAGCACATATACATCCATAGTTAGGGTTATTCAGCCATATTTAATGTGCTATTGGGTTCCGACATCAGAGTTTGAACCCCGGTTAAAAAATAATTATTTTGTCGTAGAAGTGTACAGAACCTGGCTGAAAGCGAGTTATTTTTAACCGTTAGTGAAATTTTTAACCGTTTTGTGACGTCAATGAAGAACGTTTTTAGAACCATGGTCAGAAATCACAATAAAAATGCTAACAAGAAAAAGCACGGAGTGATGAAATCCGGCTTTCTTCGTACAAACGCACAATATTGTAAATCAATTTTGATTTACAATATTGTGTGTGTTTCCACTGCAGTCTTTTCTAATACGTATGATACGATTAAATCATACACAATATTGTAAATCAATTCTGATTTACAATATTGTGTGTGTTTTCACTGCAGTATTTTCTACATACACAATATTGTAAGGTGTTGACAACGTGTTGTTATCATCATCGTCATCCTCCTCCGTATCGGAATTGGAATCCAGATCCATCCGAAGAGACGCTTTGGGACTTGCTCCTTGATTCTTCTCTCCTCCTAACTTACATAGATCAGTATTATTTTGAGATTCTTCAATCTCAATCCTTTTAGCAGTGTCAGACTTCCTTGCTGCATGGAAGACACTCCTGAGGAGCTTCACAGGGACATTGTTTCCTTTCTTGTCTTTGGTTGTTCCAAGAAGAATCTTTGGCTTGACAATACTGGTATCCATATCCTTTGCAGGGAAGAAGATGATACTCTCCTCAAAGATCTCTCCATTGTCGTCCTTGAGCTTGTTCATATTCTTCCCAAACCCAATCTCGGAGGCATGGAGTCTGGGAAAGATGAGATGGCCATTTGCATCCTTGTCCATCTCTGCCAAACAGAACTAGTTTGACAGATATGGCAGCCACTTGATCTGGATCTTGAAGTGTCTCTTATCAACCCAACTAAGCTCAAGATCATTGAGCTTGGTGATGGGTTCATCCTTGCCAAGCTTCATAGCACTCATGGTAGAACAAAAACCATCTTCATCAGAGGAAGTGCGAGGCTTCTTGGTCAAGGGAACTCTTCTTGGGGGCATGGGGCTCGTGAATTCTTCCTTGTTTTTGGATTCGCTTTCAGGAGGAGAGGGGTAGGAGTTGTAAGAGGCTTCTTCTTCTTGGTCTACGGCGACTGCTTCAACTACTTCTGCTGCTGCTTGCAGTTCAACTCTTTTGTTCCTGTACTCTTCAAATGGATCATCTAACAGTATATTTCTGTTGTGTAGATCGCGTGCCAACAATGACATTCTCTGCAATGAAAAGAAGGAGGAAGCAATGAGCGTGCATCAATGGAAGAGCAAGAGCAAACAAGCAACAAGCGTCATCGTCACTTATTCTTACCTTGGCAATCTTTCGCCAACTTGATTGTTTGATGTTCTCCCTGATGTAGTTGGAAGACCTCCAATGAAAAATTGATCCAGGTTTGTCATTAGGATCCCAACCTTCTCCTCTATTTGTACTCAAGTGGCAATTGAAGTGGTAGCAGGCACTTTGCTTTGCTAGAGGCAAATGGTCGTAAGTTAGACAAGGATCCTTCTCTTGGTGTGCTCTTTTTGCTCCACTCTTTGGTTGGTGTCGAGGCATCGTAAAAGGAAAGAATATGAAAACAATGTTTTACTATAATTTATCTACAAATTACCAGCAGCCAAAGGCAGCTCTCAGCTGCACTTAGGTAGCAATGGACTGTACCTTTGGTGCTTTCATCGCGCCATTGCTTGTTGCTTGTTGCTTGTTGCTTGTTGCTTGTTGCTTGTTGCTTGTTGCTTGTTGCTTGTTGCTTGTT